CCCAGTAGCATATTGGACACCTTCCGACCTGAGGGGCTCATCTTCCGGCGTCATATCTTTTAACCATCAGAAGCATATAGTTTGTTAATTTCACTGAACAACAGTGAAAACAATTTCACTGGTGGCTGCTCCATTTTTTAGCTTAATACAAAGGGCTGATTATTAACCTTAAAATCCTAAGTGGCTTGTGAACAACTAACCACAACTATGTTTTCCTTACTAGCCTGTCCATGCACTCAGCTCCCTTAGATGTTCTATTATTTGAATTGCAATTGGCTGGGATTGCAGTTGCCATGCCTACACTTTAAAATTCTCTGGCAAACCACTTCCGAAACACCTTGCCATGAAAACTGCAGGGACTCGTCCAGGCAGTTGCTGCAGAATTGGTTATGATTGAGTGCAGATAAAAAAAAAAAATTAAGCCCTGGATTGTTTTTCATATTCATTTAGTGAAAGTAGAATTTATTTTAAACTGTAATTCCTAATTCACATGTAGTATGAAGCCAACAATCTATTATACTGAAACTATATTTGATTTTATTTCTTCTCCATCCCACACAGATGGTGGTAAAAAGGGAAGAATGTTTGAGCCAGGTGCTTTACACAGGCATTTTCCTGCTGGTAATGATTTAGCATTACACGAAAAGTATAGTAAAGACAGAGCTTCTACAATCTAGAACACTTTCATCAGTAATCTTGTGAGTGATTCAGTGTTCAGATTATTTGATAGATAAAGGAAGGTAAGAGTTAAAAATGGGAAAATATACCATAGAATATGAGTCTAGAGAGAGCAAAGTATTAAACCAGTATTCTCATTTTTATTGTATCACAAACCTTGTCCCAATTCAAGATAACATTCTAAACTTCAAAACTCCAAATTGAAAGTCTACAGATTATATATCCAATGAATAACAGAGGAGGAGGAGGAGGAGGAACCTTCTCAGACTGACTACTCCCCTCAAGATAAGAACATTTATATCCAACTACAATATCAACATAGCCAACCAGTAAAAGCAAAACAGCAAAATGTATTCCTTTATATGCCATTCTAGGGGAAACTACTGTTCACCCAAGTACTGGCATAACTGTCCCCCTCCCCCCAAAAATATTCCAGTATTCTGATACACCTTGTTTCTAAAGAATCATAACCATGACTTCCACCCACAGGACATCAATTCACTGCCACAAATGCCACACATGCACAGTAGTTAAGTAAGAACAGATTTACTGCATCAAGCAAAGCTACAATCTAAAATACAGCTATGAGAACTTGCTTCTGAGTATGCCTGCTATGCTGACCTGTCTCCTGTAATAACAAAATAGCAAATAAGTGTTAATGTGAGTCAATCACTAAGTTATTACCTCAAACAGTTGTTGCTAGAATTATTATGCAAACTAGATAAAAAACCCACTGCCGTACATTCTGTACAGAAAGAGAATGAAATGAAATAAATGTACAACTTGGAACTATCACATTTCCATATTGTAAAGAACCTGCATAGACTAGTATAAAAATCTGAAAAGTAATTACCTGTAAGTCGTCATAATTTGAACCAAAGTAGAGCTTTGTCCAAATTCCAGTGGTTTCAGGTGATTTAGCGAGGGTAATGACAACATTATTAGGTGAGACATTAACTTCAATTTCTGGAGAACACAATTTATTTTCAGGAAGAAACTGTAAGAGGAAAATGTAGGAAACAGAGTCTTTGTTTGCAAAATTCACCCTGTAGTAATTCGTGCCCACTTCCCCCTGAAAGCTCAGGGGAACAATGTCTGGAACCTGTAAGAGGAGCACCAGGGACTTTTCATCTTGAGTACAATTAAAAGGAGGGCACAGGGGGCTGGCAAGAGATACTGAAGGATCAGGATTGCAAGTAGAGGTTATATGAGCATCTACAGCTCCATCAAGATTTTGTGAAGGCCGAATAGAAGAAACAGTGACTCTCTTTCCAGGATACAAAACAGAATGTTCCACATGGTTAGTAGTGGTGGGGTTTGCTGTATCTGAGTTTCCAGAAAACTTTGGCCTCTGATCCAGACTGTCAGTTGACAAGATTGTCTCAGAATGATCCAAGCTGATATCAGAAGGACATATATACGGGATTGTGCTGCTACCTGGGCACAATGGGAGTTCAACGTTAGTGATGTTGGGGTTTTTACTAAGTTCCATGTCGGTGCAGAGATGTTCCTGCTTTACAGGAAAAACAGGATGCGCAGGAAGCTCCCAAGTGTCAGTATGCAGAAAGGGGGCAAGGGAATCTGAGCCGGTACCTTCAGGCTGTGCACCCAAGATCACGTTGTTACTGCTTCTGGTTAACGACGAATCCCCTGGACTAATGTTCTCGTTGCACATGGGAAGTGCAGCACTAAATTCAGAAGCACAAGGAATTTCTTCCGCATGCATCGAAAACTCCAGATGGTTACGGGTAGTCCGCACGTGGGCACTGAGCGGAACCGGGCTGTTCACGTCAGAAACCAAAGGGACATCCACATTATCATTTGTCGTAGCAACGGCCAAAGAGGCTGTCGGAGTTATTTCTACGTCGGACGCAGGCAATGCCGCGCTGTCTACGGATGCAACAAGAGGAAGCGCCTGCTCAGAATGGCTGGTCTTTTGACACACTTCCGGATCGTCCTTATCTGGGGTGGCGGCGCAGTCTTCCTGCAGCTGCTCCTCGTTTTCTGGCGAGGCCTTGATTTGCTCTTGCGGAGTTTGGACGCTGAAAACAAGCTCCGAGTCAGGCTTCCGCAAAACCGGCAGGACTACCACTAGTTGTTTCTTGGCTTTGTTGAATGTGGCCCGGCCGCGGCCCTCGTCCACTGGGTAGGGCAATGGGAGGCGCAGCTGGTAGGCAGCAGGGCGCTGCGAGTCCAGCTGGAGCTCCTGGCCGCAGATCTCCAGCTGGGCCTGGGCGGCACAGCTGAGCAGTGGCAGCTCAATGGTCACCACCAACTCACGGGGGATCGGGCTAGGCGTCGAGTCCCGGCTGTTGCGGTAGTCCTGAAAGTCCACGTAGGAGCGGTGCCGGAGGGTCCAGTGCGGAGTGGTGGGAGATGGGGGTGATTTGGGAGGCGGCGGCGGGCTCTGAGCTGCGTACTGCGGCCTGGGCGGCGGATAGGTGTAGGGCGAAGGGAAAGGCGGCAAAGGGGAGTCGTCGGACTCTCCACCCTCTTCTGGGGGCGGCCGAGCCCCTGCGGGGAGCGGCGTCCGGAGCAACGTGGCCTGTGGGACGCCCTTGTACTTGGTGCAGCGGAGAGGGACGGCGTTCGTGCGGTCCAGTTGCGGGGAGAAATTTTTCTCTACCGCCTCCAGGGCCGTGTCGTTCACCAGGCGGCGGAACTGGGCCAGGCGGGCGGCCAAGCGGAGGGTATGCGGGTGGAAGACGACGTCGTACACAAGGCGGTGAGGCCCGCGCGGGTGGCCGCGGCTTAGTTCTTCGCGGCCCGGCGCTAAGCAGTGTGGCAGAAGCCAGCAGGAACCGCCAGGCTCTGGCCGAGGCTCAGGCCTCCCCACTAGCGGGTTGCTGCAGATGTTGATGTAACACCGCCGGCTACCAGCCTGGCTCGTGCGGAGAACCCAGCCCGGTGTGGGGTGCAGGAAGCGGGCTTCCACGCCCCGCTGCCGCTCCAGAGCTGTCACTTCGGCCTCATAAATAGCCCTTTGTTCTGGATCGTTCAGTTCGGCCACGTACTCCGCGAAAAGAGTGCGGAAGCCCTGGTCCTTGAAGGCGCTTGTCAGGCGCTCTACTTCGTCCCCCGTGAGGTTCAAGTCCTCCAGGCCTGAGCGGCCCGTCATGCCTGCAAGGCGGGCTTCGTTTCCTTTGGTCGGGCCGACTCGGACAGGCGGTTGCCCAAAGGGAGAGAAGGGCTGCGTCTCCTTCCCTCGTTTGGGGGAGCCGTCCTGGTCCCCGTAGGGATTAAATCAAGCGATATGGCAGCTATTGCTGGCCCTAGTGGTTTTGTTGCTATGGAAACGTTCTTAACAATATGGCGGGTCTGATCGGTTGCCATAGCGATCAGAGCAAACGGGACGGTGGTCCAGCCCCCTTCGGGACGCTAAATAGGCCAAGAGCTCGTGCGAACGGCGAGAACACGGATCGTCGACCTCTTTGTGGCAGAGGGATCTTTGCCAGAAAAGAATATAAAACACAGGATCAGAGCCAGTTTGTGGCAGATGCTTGGCAACATACTGGGAGCCTTCAAAACTGCCAACAGAAAGAGGGAAAGCAACTCAGCAGCAGCGGTAAACTGGCCTCTCTGTGAAGTCTAAGAAAATCCGGCCATCATCACATTTTGTTACCCTGCACACCTCTGGGGTAGTGCAGCAGAGTGGACTCAGCCATCAGCTCGGTTGTATGCCTAAAAGGCAAGGAAGAAGCTGGGTGTTGGCTGCTGCTCATTAGGAACGACCACTGTATCTGCTCTCCTTTACCTGCCTGCTTTCCTTGGCTGGCACAGCGGTGGTGATCATGCTCACAAGACCCAGATAGGAAAGAACAAGCAGGTGCAGTGACCAATTCTCCATGCTTCAGCTCTGTCTGCCATTACAGCTGTCATTGCTGCTGTGATGCCCAAAAGCAAACTGCTGGCAAGCTGGAGAGGATCATACCCAAGTTCCATCAATCCAATCCTACTTCTCCCTTAATCCAACATGAAAGCATTTTTTCAGCAAATGACTGCAATATTTATTCACCCCCTACATGGTTTATGTACTCAAGGCAGCCTTCACAGCCATTAACATTTTAAAATAATTTAGGCTTCCACTGTGCACAGTCCTTTCTAAAGGTTATTTCACAATCATTCCTGAAACCTGCTGCAGGTATGTACAAATAACAACTTGTGTTCTGGGCTATAGCCTCTTTAATTTAAAAGATAAGAGAGAAAAAACTTGTTTTAAGTTTCTAACATCTTCCCCTTTTAGACATGGTTGATGCTTTGCAACATGAAAAGAGCAGCCTTTATTGCTCTTCTAAATTCAGATCAATTTAGCTATCCTATTTTGGGTCACGTTGCCTGTGAATTCTAGGAGTTGTAGTTCCAACTAATTTGGAGGTATTGGGGTTTGGGATAGCTGCTTCAATACTTAAGGGCATTACACTAGTTCTGTAGTTCAAAAGAGAGAAAAAGTTGAGCCACTGAAATGGTGAAAATACTATAGTGAACATTTTGTATGCAGGTGTCTTAAAAAGTTATAAATCCAGTGATCGCTGATGATACTTCATATATTCAGACTTTACATTAATCTGCATAGATACCATTTAGTGAAGGCAATTATCAGTTATTTCTTCTCCCATCAAGTCTACCTGTTCCTGCTATCACACCTTATCTTCTACTAGACACTAGTACAGTGTCATAGCTGTACTGATCCTTCAGAAATTTTTCAGTATTTTAGATGTTCAGTCTTGGCTGTTTAATGTGGATAGGGATTTTTTAATTTGGTCATCACTGAAGGCCAATATTTTCCTCCCATAAATAGTCCTGTTTAAAATTACAGATTTGTTCTAAAGAATATTCAGGTTTATTTGCTTAATACTAAATCAGAAGAAAGTTGAATAGTTTTTTTGTTCTGAATATTTTGGCAGTGAAGAACAACTGTATTCTTTTTTTGTAAAAGTAAAGTCAAATTGAGCATGAAACTGAGCAAACTCAGGGAGGCAGTGAAGGACAGGAAGGCCTGGCGCAATATGGTTCATGGGGTCACAAAGAGTCGGACACGACTTAACCTATTTATGGGAGGAAAATATTGGCCTTCAGTGGGCAGTGAAGGACAGGAAGGCCTGGCGCAATATGGTTCATGGGGTCACAAAGAGTCGGACACGACTTAACGACTAAACAACAACAAAATCAAATTATTTCAAGTAGAGATATAAAATGCGATGCATGTATGAACACCCTTATATAAAATTTATATACAAGATATATAACAATATACAAGATATATTAGCTATAACATGCAGTTACAATCCATGATCCTAAATTTTAAGAAACACTGTTGTAGTACTTCAGTCATTTTAAGACCAGAAACTTTGGCTTACTCTTCTTGACTGAGATTCAGAGATCTTGGAGTTTGCTGAAAATTTAAAACAAAAAAATAATGTAATGTAACCAACATATTAGTACTTTTCTTAAAGTTTAATAAAGAATATTTACTTCTGCACTGAAGATTAAGTGTAAGTGCAATTATATATATATGTCTGAGACTACATCAAGGATTAAGACTTGATAATGCAAAACAGATTTAATTTATGTATCTTATTGAATTACTAATTCATATATTTGTTTTGGAACATCTTTCACAATTCAGGTTGCAATATTTAAAAAATCCCTAACAGTAGAATGGAATAAGTTACAGGCTGATTAAAGTATGCAGAGATTTAATACAGTAGCAAAAATTAACTTTCAAAGCAGACAGAAGGAAAGGCAATCTGGAAAACAGGATTTAAAAAAAAAAACTTTTTAAAATTTATACACCAAGACCGTCTGAGCTTTTAAGGTATGAGGTTCACTACACACAAGACCTGTGAGGAAAACCATAATATCCAGTCGGGTCTATATAATAGTACTCCAACTAAAATGACTCCAAACTGTTAAGATGATAAGCCCAGCATTTCATAACTGGTATAGAATTGGTGTTCCACATTTTGATTGCTTGGCTTCAGCAATAACCTGTCAGCCAAATTTTGTATCTGGACCCTTTCTAAAGCAGTCCCATAGTATATCTATATACTATGTTTTCTATGTTATAGAAATTACTATATAATTTCTAACTATATCCAGGTTAGATATCTATAGATATAGATATATAGATATCTAACCTGGATATAGTTAGAAATTATCAGTCATGCCAAAATACAATTTCTTTAGAGATATCTAAGGAAAGGACACCATTACTCATGTTTATTAGCTGACATTCTGCGGATATGTTTGGTAGAGAAACAGTACCACTACTAAGTCCAAAAATAGGCTCCATTATATTTACTTATTCATAAGTTATTCTGTATAACTTTTAATTATGTATTTCTGATTTTAGTTTGTTGTAAGCCGCCCAGAGTCCCCCGTTGTGGGGAGATGGGTGGGGACAAGTCTATTAAATAATAATAATAATAATAATAATAATTCTAGGTTTCAATCCAAATAATTCTTTAATCTCTACTCTACTGAAATAGTTCTGTAATTTGATTTAGGACTTTTAGGATTTACATCAACACATCATTTGCCTTCCTGTTCTATTACATTAGGGTACTGATAGGTCAAGATGCCTAAACTACAGAAGCCAACTCAAAGGCCTAAAAATGGTCATCCAGTTCTTTAGGGGTTACAGTAAGCTTGAAAACTGAACTCGATCAGGCAATTTATCTGCAACAATAAAACTACTACAAATACCATGAATTATTTTGCCCTGGCAGATTACCAGATCCATTGGAAACTCTCCCAAATATGTTCAGCTTGATATTACTGGAAACAGCATCGCTGTTAAGGAATTAAGGCCTCGTATCCCAGTGTTGCTACATTAGCTCTTCAGTAATGCCAGCTAGTATATTTGGGAGCGGTTTCTACATTTTACTCACCTGGTATAGATGACATGAGCCATGGTTACCTTATTTGTCCAATATTAGTTCATTATCAGTAGCTACTTCCACATTATCAAACCTGCATTCATTTATAGCATTTTAAATATGAACTAAAGCTAAGCTACCTTTGCTACTAAAGACAGACATAGTGCAGTGTGAAAGGGGATACAGCAAAAGATGTCTCATCCTTGTTGGAGAGCTCTGCCCTTCAGCACAATAGCCCCTTCTCTTACTGTTCTAGTTGTCTCTTACCTCTGTATTCTTATTAATTATAATATGTATATGAAAAGTGCATATTTATTCTGTATAGACATTAATAGTGAAAGATATACAAAATAAAAATGTTCATCATTTATTTTGTCAAGCTATATTTATTTGATAACTATACAGCTATCAAGTTATATCTGTTTTCATCAGACAGCATGAAAAACAGGAAATCAGTTATTCTTGTACACTCGGTAAGTTAAAAAAAGTGACCTTACCTGTCTTCAACAGTTTTGTTAGAAGGGTAGAATACTTTGAATGAAAAGCCACTCCTTGGAAAAGATCCCTGGTATTTAAGAAAAACAGCATAGGAAAGAATTTTGCTTTTCACCCATGCCATTTTCTTGAATATGTTTTCTCTTTAGGTGCAATTTTAAAATACATGCTTAACACCTGAAAATAATTTCAGATACATCATGCAGTAGCCCTTTGTTAGCAAAAATTAATCTGACAGTAGTCATTACAAATATACATTTTACTGCTTTTATTTTCTGTCTACCCAAAACAATTTTAGTCTATCTTAAAACATTTGAAGGTAAAATGAAAGCTATGACAGCAAGTTTATTTTTAATGACAGAAAATGCTACTGTGATTCATAATGCTGCAAACAGTATCTATTATGAGCAAAAAAGTCCATAACAGATACTATCTGGAGGTATTTGGTAGTTTGGATTCTAACAGTCTGACCAGCCTTGTTATTTCTTATATTTTGCTTGTTAGAAAGATGTTTTCATCATAGTTTGAGGACAGGGAAAAATATAAACAGGATCCTACCGGATTTATACAAAGGCAATCGGTGTTGGTTACAGTGAATGGGTCATATTTGTCAGCAAAAACAATCAGATCTGGCAAAGGGTAGGTTCTCAAGGTGTAGTCATAGGCCCAATAGACAGGGCTGACATTAAGAGGCAATGGAGTCAGATGTCCTTGTGATAAAATAGTCTTTACAAACTGAAAGGTAAAGAACAGTGCTATAAAATTACATATGAAAGTAAACTGATCTTGCAATTCTTTCTATTCAGAATACCTCCCTCAGCTCAGCATGAATTATTCCAAATAAATGACTACAGGATTACAAATTGAATGATTTTGTCCTCTTTCTTGTTCATTAAAATGAGTTTGTTAACAGACCTAGTTAGTTTACCAGAACGTGGAACCAGATCTAGGATTTGTTTCAATTCCTGCAATTCTGAATGAACTTGAGAACACTATTTTGAGCAGTATAATGAAATTCCCTTAAAACTACACCATCTAAAGCAAACTGATCACCATATAGAGTTGGTAAATAGCTGCAGAATATTTCAATGAACTATTCTTTGTTGGGAGAATTATTCTCCATTTTAGTTACCTTAATCCATTTATATTTTATTATCTTTTCATACAGTTATTCCACCCAGGTAACTTAAATTAGACATTTCAATCTGTCTCTCATTTCTGCACGTGCCATGTTTCCTGCACAAAACCTTTGTAAATTTGTTTGATGTTATCTGCCCAAACAGAAACCAAACCAGTAAGAACTTCAAGCAAGTGAAATAAAAGTTTTACTCTTATACTTCCATTTCTCAAACAATTATAAATTATAATCCCTCATCCCAAAGTTTAATTCAAAATATTGAATGCTTTTTTGATCTTACGTGGTTAGGAATATCCAAACTACTGTTAGGGAAACGGACACAGTTACGGCACATCTTGTTTACCAAGTCTTCCCGAAAGATTATTATTTCCTGTGTACAATACTGGACTCTGAAAGTGACAAATGCAACTTTTATCTCTTCTGAGGATTCACCAGTTACCAAAGAGAATTTACTATTAACTCAAATATGCCAGCAGCTCTGTCCCTGTTGCTATACAGCAGAGGTAGGTGGTCAGTGTGCACCTGCAACTTCACAAGCACCTCAAGATTACATTGCTGAATTTCAGCAGCAAAATGACCAAAATTCAGAAGTTTAATTTTCCCCCTTTCAAAATTAAAGGTAGGAATGTGAGTAGCCTTCAGCTCCCATTCCTACTCCTAAATTCCTCAATGCACCCTCAAATAGCAGTTTCAGCCCTTTTTTGGTAGTTTGGGGGGATTTTAAGGGTGGAAATGGAAGTGGGACCTCTAGAAAACAATATTTGGCAACAAAAATGGCTCAAATTCATCCCATCAAGAGGTATTTGGGGGCTCTTATTAATAGATCTGGGGATAATGTAAGGCTGGGAATCAAAAAAATTCAGCTTCGAAAGGCCTCCTGCCCTTAACATCCCTCTAAATGGGACAAAATAATTGGGGCTTGGCCTTTCTGGTAATGTCACATCACCAGATGGCCTCTGGAAGGGGGGCCTCTGGAAGGTCAGGAGATAAAGCCCCAACTCTGCTGTAGAATGAAGCCTCAGCTATCATGGGATGCCAGTGCTTTCGTAACATCACACGCGCACACAAGATAGGAGCATGTTGGAGATCATCTAGTCCAAATCCCTGTCCAGTACAGTAATCCACTATTATTAAATTAAATGCCCATATTAGGGACACATACCTGCAAGGATTTGTTGTGAAAACTGAAAATGGCACCTGCTGTCTGAATTCCTCAGTAATGTTTTCAGTGAGCGGTGGCCTAAAAAAAGTGTACGTGAACACACATACATATGAGAAAAGCATTGCAGATTCTCAAAGCATCATCTTCAGTGACATAATCTTGTTACAGATATTAGGTCAAAAAATGTACCTTGGCAAAATGGAGCCTGGACCAGGGTCTTCAGAACCAGGAACAAATACAAATCGACTGCTATAAATAATGAATGAATATATCTGATTTAGTATTACTGGTGGGTATAAAATGAAATGTTCACTAAAATTTAGGGTAATGTTATTAAAGGTAATTAGGGTTTCAGAAGCTGGGGCAAGTAATATAAGCTTGAATTAAGCAACTCTCCTGCAAGTTCTCATCTGCAAAACAGCCTTTCCAAAATAAAAGTAGGAAGGAGTTAGACTAAATGCAGCCTCCAATAGCAGCATCTACAACAAACTGTGACACTAAAATGTTGACATGCATGTAGTGATGTCATGAACCCACCCCAACTATGTAAGTCAGGGCACTTGTACGATGTCACACACATTTTTATCACTTGCTTCCCATGATGTGCTCCCATGGCCTCCAGATTTGACAGATGAAGAAAAAGTCACAATTCCTCTGGATTTTGTAGCTTCAGTTCCCAGCTAACACAATACTCTGCAGAGGTGTTTGAGCAGAACTCTTGAATTTTAACTAATTTACCAAATATACTCAGTCTTAGTGCACATATTTCTTTACAGGTGGAATTAATTTCTGCATGGGAATGTTTGCTGTGTGATTAATGTGAAGCACACCTGTTCTGTAAAGATTTTTCACCAAGCAAATAATGTGGAACATACCTTTCATGGATACTGGGATATTCACATATTATATCTGCTAGGGCTTTCAAAGAACCTAAAGATACAACAATAAAAGTTTTCCTATGAAAGTAGTAATTATTTTCTTTCCCTCTTGTCAATCTTCATTTCATGATTAGAAAGCAAAACCAAAAACAGCTGATCAGAATGTGGTGGTGCAGACAGTTCTGAATGCCCCTGGGGGGCACATAAAACACCGCTGTTATGCGAGCTGCATTGCTTGCTGGTTTGCTTCCGGGTCTAATTCAAGGTGTTGGTTATTACCTTTAAAGCCCTTCATGGCAGAGGACCAGGTTATCTGAGGAGTCATCTCGTCCCGGTTACTTCAGCCTGCCCCACTTGGTCTGGCAGAAGGGGCATGTTGCAGACCCCACCAGTCAAGGAATTTCGACTGGTGGGATCTAGGCAGAGGGTCTTTTCCGCTGTGGTTAAAAAGGTAAAGATGGCAGCCATGAAGGGTGATTGAAGCTATTCCTGCTTTTTATGGGCAGGCAGAACTTCAATTGCACCACTGTGGCTG